TATATTTTATGATTTCACTTTATTAATAATAAATACTCGATCAGAATAATAAAATTAACCCACCTAGAATTTTCTTGTGCATGATCATTGCTAATGAACATTTTTTCCATATGACTACTAAAATTAATGTCATTGATGAATGATTTATTCACTATTTTTTAACAGTAAGTATATAATATTTATAAAAATATCAAATTGACCAAATGTGAAAATTTGTATCCGTTTTAAAGATAAAATAAATAACATTTTTGCAACACTAAATACCTTATACTGTTTCTGTGTTACATTTAAGCTTACCTCATATGTTACGCTTCATCTATAAAGTACGTCGTCAATAGCAACGTATCTTATTAAATATACTGATGAAAATTTTTGTCAATTTTGACATACTTCTTTATAATAATTTCTGAATTTAGTAAAATTTCTGATTCAATATTAGTGTTGCAAAAAATCTTGAAGACAACACGAGTTTTATAGTTTAAAAAACTTTTTTTATCTTTAAAGTTATAAATTTACATTAAATATACATACATACATTTTATGATATTATTTTATAAATGCTTTACAGTAAATGTGAAATTTTTATTTGTGTATTCTGATCTATAGGTTGTTTTTGAATAGAGGGAATTCATATCGTTTGACGTATTTGTCTACATAGTAAATTCGATAATGATTCAATTAATGATTAATTAAAATTGTTAATGACCACTAATGAGTGTAAAAGAAAGAAAAATTTGTTAATTTGAAATCAATTAAATCTAATTTGTTTTGGTGAAATGAAATTTTGATACTGAGCTAGACTATTAGTTCGTACTCTATTCTGAATTTTTTTGTTTTGTAAAGTAGGGTTAAATGTAGTCGATAAAAAATTAAGCATATTTCTGCAAAAACACAGTAAAACTCGTAATTTCTGTTTTACATACAGTGTCCCCCTCCGTTAGGTGACAGAACTCTTGTAAAAGACAAAAAATTCTCGATTTAAACTTTAATTTTTTGGAGTTCATCCCTACTTGGTTAAAGACTAATTTGTAACATAATTTTAGTTTCAAAAAATCAAGTATACTCGTACCTGGGACATTTTTTTTATGTAGGCAAATACGAGTAGTACAAAAAGTTATTAAGAAAAGTCGTTTAGAATTAACATATACGTAGACAAACTTTTAAAACCGGCCAATTATGATTTTTCTTTTTTTTTCAAGATAATTTTTAGTAACAAATACGTTAAAAAGTTAATTGGTGGTAAAAATTTTTTATTCATAATAAAAGAACTGTTAAAAATTTATATAAATTTGATTTATGAAATGATCATAAAAAAATTAAAAAACCCTAGTTGGTCGATGGTTTTAAAATTTGGTATAGGGCTTAAATGTGGATTCTAAACAACTTTTCTTCATAACGTTTTGTCGTTTTTACCACATAAAAGGTACAGTAAAAGAAGTTTTTTTTGAAATTTCTAAAGCATACTTGATTTTCTTAAACAAAAATTAAGTTTAACCAAGCAGGGTTGAACCACAAAAAATAAAAATTTAAATCTAGAATTTTTATTTTTTACAAGAGTCGTTTCACTTATCCGGGGACACACTGTATATTTTTTGCTAGGTTTTATAAAAGATAATAAGCTAATAGTGTTGCAGAATTTATTATTGAATGTGTATAATAATTTAATTTTGTGTTTTGTAGTTGTTAAATGTGCATTTAGTGAAGTTGAAATAGATTATTTTAGATTATGCAATTTATTGATTATTTTTTTCTTTTATGCACGTTTATTTAGGACAACCGATATAACTGAATAAACTCCTCTAACAACCTGAAAAAACTGTCAATAGCTTAAATGTAAGCTTAATAATTTGACATACGGCTAATCCTAGTTGATAGTTAACGGAATAATTTTCGGTGAGTTGTATTTTACGTTTTTTCATCATCGTTGTTAAAAAAAATAAATAAAGTTTCTTATTGGAATGATTAAAATTGTACCATTTTACTTCTTTGAGAACCATAGTAATTTCGTCCCACTGAAAGAATTTTTAGTGACTAGAGTTAAAACAATTACACTTTATTACGTTTGATTCCAATAATTGACCGGTCCACATGGCAGCCATAAATGTAGTCATCCCAGCGAGAAAAGTTACAGTCATACGAAAATAACACTCTGATGTAAAATTGTCCTATTTAAAAAATAATATCACTCAGTGTTATTTTATATTCATGCTTACCGAAACAATGAAAAAAGCAATACCGATACCTACAAAAACAGTACTAAGAGTAAATGTAACGATTATTGTTTGAGTTTCTTGCATCTTTTTAACATGCAAACTAAAAACATAATGGCAGAAATTTGAAAGTTAGTAATAGAACTCACTGTATCAACTCTTGACCTCTTTTAATTAAAAACTTGAGTCTTTGTCTTATTATCGTTTGATAAGTGGAATTGTAAAATAAGTTTTCTTCGTTTTGAGAAATTGTTTCCCAGTTGTCTAGTCGTTTTATAAATTCCGCTTTCATTTGTATTTGATAACTGATGTGTTGAGTGTAATAAAAAAATTGGTACGTGGGGGCACTCATAAGGTGGCCAAGTAAGAAAAAACTTGTCCTGAAGAAAACTTCAAGAGTACGACTCTGGTTTGGAAAATATTCGTCGATGAGATAATATCCGAAAAACAAATTGATATCTTTCGATAATGGATACACAAGAGCTGTAATCGCCACAAACAAGAGCAAAAAATTGAAAATAATGAAACATGTTACAATCTTTATTTTTTTCTTAATTTCGGAATGTATTTTTTCACCAGCACTGTCTGTGGTCCAGATTTTTATCTCATTTGTTAAATGTATTAATTTGTTTTCGATTAAAACCAAGAAAGCAGAGAGAATGAACTAAAAAACAGTAATTCATTTTAAGAGAAAATTACAATTACTATATTAATACATAGGATAACAAAAAAATTTGCGGAGCATAATTAGTAAAGAATTTTGTATCAAAGGTAGTTACCATGAAGTAGACTGTTAAAATTTGCACAAAAACATGTACGGTGAGGACCAAAACTAGAAGAATTTTAAAAGGTTTTGGTTGAAAAATATCATATCCGAGGTATTTCACTATTTTGAGATAATCAGCTGAAAAAAATTTTCAATGAAAGAAATTTCTTTGATAAGATTTAAACTTGTCATAAATGCTTTAATTTCGTACTCCATTTTGTACTACGTCTCAGATCAAACTGAATTTTTAGTTTTGATAAATAGGTTAATTACAGTCGGTGAAAAATTAATTACCGACAAGAAATGAGTTCGGTAAAAACACAGTAAAACTTTTAATATTTACTGTTTTGTAATTGCAGAGATCATTTGAATAAGTTTTAATAAATTTTTCGAAAAATTTTATTGCAGTATTTATTATTGAATGTGTATAATAATATAATCTTGTGTTTTGTGATGTAGTAGTTAAGTGTGCATTTAGTGAAGCTGAAATAAGATGGCTTCTGTTATTCCAGAATTGTGCAAAATTTATTAATTTTTTTTCTTTTATGCATGCATATTTAGTACAACCGATATGACTGAATAAACTACTCTAACAATCTGAAAAAAAATCTATCTTATATAGATCTTACACAGGATGCGCCAGAACTCGCGCCCCAGAGAGAAGGTAAGATACCAGGAACATGGAAAAAATGTTAAAAAAATTCTGCCTATAAAAATTTCGAAGTTATGAGAGTTTAAATTTTCCACTTTCACACTATTTATTTCTGTTGGAAAAATAATTTTACAAGTTTTTTTGCTATAGGCTATTAGAAGAAGAAACAAGGAAGCTGTATCCTAAATTGTAACTCTGTTGAATGTTATGTGTGGCTTTTATTGTCAAAATTTTTGTACCTTTACTAAATAATTATAAAAAAAACATATATAGGATCCACATTAAATACACATAAAACATGTCAAATGTGAAAAAATAAATGTCAAAATTTTTTGACAGATAAACTCTTTTAAACATTTTTCACATGTTCCTGGTATCTTATCTTACTTGAAATTTTTCTCTGGGGCGCGAGTTCCGGCGCACCCTGTATAAGCTTGGTAATTTAACTTACAGCTAGTCCTAGTTGATAATTGACGGAATAATTTTCGGTGAGTTGTATTTTGTATTCTTTTGTCATATTTGTTAAAAACATTAAATGTAGTTTCTTATTAGAATGATTGAAATTATACCATTTTACTTCTTTGAGAGCCATAGTAATTTTATTGAACTGGAAGAATTTTTAGTCACTAAAGTTGTACCAAACATAAGTACACTTTATTACGTTTGTTTCCCATGATTGACCGCTCCATACAGCAGCCATGAATGTAGTGATCACAACAAGAAAAGCGAAAGTCATACGAAAATAACACTCTGGTGTGAAATTTTCCTGTTTAAAAAATACTATCATTCAGTCATTTTATATTTATGCTTACCGAAACAATGAAAAAAATAACACCGATTCCTACAAAAATAGTACAAAGACTAAATGCAACTATTAGTATTTGCATTTCTTTGACTTTTTTAAGACGTAAACTGAAAACAGTGGCAATAATTAGAAAATTAGTCAATGATAGAACTCACTTTATCAACTCTTGACTTCTTTTAATTAAAAACTTGAGTCTTTGATTTATTATCGTTTGATAAGTGGAATTGTAAAACAGGTTTTCTTCGTTTTGCGAAATATCTTCCCAGTCGTCCAGACGTTTTATAAACTCCGCTTTCATTTGTATTTGATAACCGATGTGTTGAATGTAATACAAACCTGGATATGTAGGTAGAATCGTAAGATAACCACGTACAAAAATTGTTGCTCTGTAGAAAAATTCAAGAGTACGACTCTGGTTCGGAAAATATTTGTGGATGAGATAATGTCCAAAAAATGAATTCAAATCTCTTGATAATGGATACATAATCGCTAAACACATCAAGACTATGAGTAAAGTATTAAAAATAATGAAATATGTTACAAGCTTTATTTGCATCTTAATTTTGAAATGTACTTTTTTACCCGCACTGTCTATGGTCCATATTTTAAGCTCATTTTGTAAATTACGGAGTGTCTTGTTTTTAAATATTATCATGAGACCAGAGACGATGGGCTAAAAAGCAAAAATTCAGTTTAAGAAAAAATTAAGATTACCACATCCATACATAGAATTCCATAAAAAATTGCGGAGCATAATTAAAACAAAATTCCGTTTCAAGGATAGTTAACATGAAATAGGCAGTTATTATTTGCATAAATATGTCCAAGGCGAGGACCAACACAAGAAGAATTTTAATGGGTTTGTATTGAAAAATATCAATTGCCAAAAATTTCACTATTTTGAGATAATCATCTGGAAAGTGAAAGAATTTTGTCGGTAAATAAAAGAAATTCGGTTATTTAAGAAACAAACTTGTCATAAATGTTTTCACTTCGAATTCCATTTTATATATTACGTCTCAGATCAAATTGAATTCTTTGGTTTGGAGAATGGGGTTAATTGTGGTTGATAAAAAATTAATCAATTTAGTAATGGCGGACATAATTACTGAGGTCATTTGAATCAATTTTAATGTATTTTATCCACGACTATTGTATAATGTACCCCTTATACGTCTGTTTGCTCGATCTTAATAATACCCATTAATTACTAGTGATTAATGAGTCATTAATCACTCTCATTAATCACTGCTGTCAGAAGCTTCCTTGATTTAGCTATAATATTATATTGTTTTGCTACAAACAATTATTGGTTTTTAAAATTTTATCGTGTAAACCACTAAATATTTTCAATTTAGTTCTGTACATATAAAAAAAAATAAAAAAAATTATTTTCCTTGACCAGATTCGAATCCGGGACTCGCAGTTGGAAGCAACCAGCATCGACACAGACCCATTACCAACTTCGAATGTGTGTGTCGTATATCTGTTTCTTAACATACTTAATGTAAGAAAATTTTCCAACACAAAAGCTTCAACAAAAATATTTAGTAGTCGTGGATAAAGTATAGTATACTACTCGCGTACATTACATTACATTACATCATTATACGCTCGTTGTATAATATACTATTTTATATTTTACGTCTACACCACACTAGTGTGAGGTGCGTTAACAGCTTAGTGTATTTTATGTTCTCAATGTTGGTGACAATGCCGTTGGAAGTAAATGCTTTCAATATTCCCACCAATGTCCAGAATTTCCGGTGGCGTAATTGCAAAAAATCTTGAGAATCCATTTCCAGATTACATACAATGTCAGTTTGAATTGACTTTTCCAACACTGATACAAGTCACCAACTGTCGCAAAATTCCCTAAATTTAAATAGCACAGACCGGTCCACTATGATTTCTTTTTGTGATGTTTCAGTTGGTTATTATTCGATTAGTGATGAAGTTTCGATGCAACCACTGATACGACTGAATAAATTCATCTTACAATCAGAAATAAAAACAGTAGAATTTATAAAATTAACAAAAAAAACATACGGCCAGTCCAAGTTGATAGTTGATGGAATAGTTTTCAGTGAATTTAATTTTACGCTCTTTTATCATGTCTATTAAAAAAATTAGGTACAGTTTTTTATTGTATTGATACCAGGAACATGGAAAAAATTTCTGAAAAATTCTGTGTCAAAAAATTTGAACATTTATTTTTTGACATTTGACATTTTCTATGTCTGATGATGTTATTCGGAAACATTTTGTTTGAAAATTAAATGTGTGAATATTAAATGAATTACATTCATTCATTGTGCTTACTGTGCATTTATTATTTTTACTGTACATTTATTCTTTTACTGTGCATTTAATTTATAATACAATCGAAATGACTG